GACCTCCCTCCCCTCTGACGCCTATCGCGAGCGGAGGAGGAATCTCTGCGGAGCGAACGAGCCCGTCTTCGGGAGGCGAAGGGCCGCTGGTCGGGAAGGAAGAGCTTCGCCTTTTCTTGAATTGTCTTCCTCGCTTCTTCCTCCGCGGGCCAGGATGAATTACGACAGGAGTGACATCGTCTTCGTCATCGAGAAGAGCGTCAGCCTCAAGAGATACTTGCCGGAGCTCATCGAAGGATACATTAGTCCCATTATATCGTGAGTCCGGGGAAGGAACGAGTGTTTTAAGCCTTTGTGGGCTTTTAGCGGCGCTTTTGGGGGATTTTGGGAATATTTACGCTTGTTAATTTGCGTTTTAATGGAAGGAAGGGTGTTTGTTGTGTTTATGTTGCTGTCTTTTCTTGTTTTGGGCGATGAGGAGGGAAAAAAAGAGATTGAAAGTTAAGATTAAAATTCCATCTTTTACAGGATTTTAGATTTTTTCTGTAAAGTAAAGGTTGATGGCTTAATATTATTTGACCGGCAGAATATTAAAGATTACTTCCTGCCTGGGGAGGCTAAGAGGCTCTTTTGGAGGTAAATATTTGCAAAACTGTAATTAGTGTCCCACTGATGGTGCAATTTCACAATTTTCCTCCTTTTTTTTTTCTTTGTCTTTCTCATTGTTCTTCTTCTCCATATTATTATTATTACTGTTATTATCATTATCATTATCATTTTCATTGGATGTTTTTCTAGTTCTTCCTTTTCTTTGTCTGAAGTTGTTGTTAAAGTTTTCCTATATTGTAGGCGCCTTCCTTCCGCCAGGAATGGAATTCAGGATCAAGATGGCGTTTCTCTGTTCACTTTGTCTGCTTCATAAAAAGGGCCTTGACTTTCCTTCACAAAGTGGATAGAATTGCTTGCTGTGAGTCAGAAGTGCCCTGCTGTGCAGCCGCGAAGGCTCCGACCGAGAGCCTCCCAGTGCGGTTTTCTCCTCCGGGGATCTTTGCCGACCGCCTCCCTCTGGCTCCAAAGCGAGTCCTGGGGTCCGTTTCCGAGGGACTTCCTTGGAAGGGTTGATGCCGGTCCCAAGGATGGCACTCGTTGCTCAGCCGCTTCAGCGGTAGAAATGAAAAAATCTCAAGCACTAATTCAGTTAATGCTTTTCTCATGTAAGCTTTTTTTTTTTTTCCAGGTTCTTTGGCAACGGTCTCTCAGAGGAGTCGGATGTTTTTTTCTCACAGGTAAGGAGATGGAGATGGAGATGACTGATTATTTAATGATTATTATTTATCGTATGTGAAATGACAACAATGTGAAATTAAATTCTGAAGAAGAAGATCAGTTCTTTGGACAAGTAAAGAGAGGGGTTGAGGATTGTGTAATCTCATCAGTCCTTAAGCCATTGGGTCCAGGCCATGTGGATGTCATATCATGAGAAAATGGGACTGAGGGCTGGGTAATGGGAATATTATGTCATGGAAGAAAGTTTGGTGAGCGGCGGGCAACAGGAAGGTCTTGTCATGGGGCACTGTTGCCAAGTGTTGAGTGACGGGGAATTCTCGTCATGAGTGCAAAGCGCTCTTGGGAGGACATTTATGACCGAGTGCTGGATCCTGTTCTCTCCCCGTTACCAGTTTTGTCGGTTGTTTTACGGAAAACTGATGGATACTAAAATGTAATTACATACCAAGACTAACTCAGTGTTACTTATTGTTATTGTTACTGTATAAAGTTTAAACTAGTTGGAGAGATATTATTGAATCTTCTGGAAGTTAATAGTCTATTATCATTTTGATCCAGAATAAGAAAGGACAAATATAGACCTTGGAAAATGAAAGAATGACTGACATACCATTGTATAGATTGAGTACAATGGTATAAATTGTAAAGATAATGTAGTATGGAATCCTTTCATTGGAAGTGATATAACTCTTCCTCTTATCTTTACAGAGCAGCTTCGTTCAGTATGCCTCAGTATTTTACGGGACAGAATTATCCCTGGTTGGGTCATGGGGCCAAGTGGAGTCATTTGGGCCCACGTGCTCCGAGCGGGATATCCTGAATGCCATAAAAAATGCTCGGTAAGTATATTACAGAGTCTGGACGTTACAGCTAGTTTTCCTCCTCTTATCATTCATACAGTTTTGTCATGTTTATTTTAGCTCCTATCTCGAGGTATTTACAGGCAGTTGGTTTTGCTTTCGTTGAAAAGGTGTGGGTTGCCTTATTCCTAGAAACGACTGTCATAAAAAAGATTTAGGTAATCATGGTAAGTGGTCCAGAACATGCTAGTAAAAATGTGTCACAACACTGATAACTAAAAGCAGTATATAAGCATAAAAATTACATAGTTCTTAATGATATCAATGTTATATTATGATTAACCTATACAAAAATGTGACTCATTAGATTTTTTATTTCACGCTGTGATCTTCACCACAGGCTCAGTCACTTCTTTGTGCCTGTGATTTTTTTAAGGACACAAATGTAAAAAATAACTCCTCTTTCTATTTTT